TTGACCCCTACTGCCATTTAAGATTTAAGGGTTGGAGATTACACCCGCGAGAGGGTTGAAGTGACAACATTGAAAATATGTGCAAAAAATTTCCCCCTCCAAATAAAAATCGACGGGTCCGAGCGATTTTTTTCAATGAACGATAAATACGAGATATCGACCTTGTTTCGTTTTCGCTGGCCCACCCTGTATATTGTGCAATACTCAGATATTGCAGGGTATTGTGAAAGTATTGTAGACTATTGCAAGCTATTGCCGAATGTTTCAAGGTATTGCAAACCATTGTGATTATTGTGAACTATTGAAAGTTATTGCAGTAGGTACAAAGGTATTCCCTATTTCTTCAAACCTTTATATTTTTCTTCCATATTATTTGAAATTTAAATCATCTTAAAGTAGTTTATTCATGTCACGTCGCTTTGTAATCCAATTTTTATTTGTTAATTGTGAAAAATGTTTAATCCATTCGTCACATTTGTTATCATAAGTCTCATGATACAAAAGCTTGCACTGCACAACAGATTCAAAACTATCATTTTCAGTTTTTGTTTATAGCAGTTTATATTCATCGCATAAAGTATTTAGTAACTTAACTACTTCTTCCCTCATTTTGTTGTGTAGACACAACAAAACGGTTACATCCTCGGTTACCACTAAACACCTTCAAAAACAACAACTCATAGAACATAAACCAACCACGCAAATTAGCTAAGGGCAAGACCTTTTATTCCAAAGGAAAACAATCGTTTATCCAACGTTTAGATACTTTGTACTGAATTGGCATTTGCAAAGGTGTAGAAAAAAAAAACAGAGCGTCACGTCTTGCAAACCCCCACCCAAAACCGAATGCATCTTGTCTGCACCGCGCTGAGGTTTGGAAGACGATGAACGGCATTATTGAATAACAAATCCAAGTTCATTTCAGAACAATGTTGCACTGAAATCAACGGGGGTTCGGAATTACGCAACCGGGGAGCGTTGTGGAGAGTTGTAATAAAAATAGGAACAAGGGTTTGCGGTCAACAGCATCGACCAGGCTAAAGCGCCCATACTGCTCGAGAGGCGAGCGTATGAGCACAGCGTGCTGCGCACGCTGCAATTGAGTTTAAGAATGTCCTGTCCTGGTATTAAGTAATGGTTGTATATTTGTAGTTTGAGGTGGGCCTATCCCCCCTGCCTGTAATGTACAGCTGAGAATTTTTTTAAGTAAAGAAGTTTGAGTTGAGTTGAGTTTGTTCGAATGGTATACGCAAGTTGCGCAGTGAAGATAATTATTGAAATATAATTTGCCCGCTGGCGCCGCTGGCTTTGACGTCAGCAGAGCGAGAGGTCGGTACATTATTCCCATATGACACGAGAGGCTTAAAAAGTGATAAGCCTTTTGGGATTATCGCGCTTGGTGGCATTTATGGCAAATTCTATTATAATTTTTTTTTTAAATTTCAAAGTATTAAAGTTTAGTTCGTTGTATAACCTTTTGAATACCACTCGATGTTTCAGGATTACCTAATACTTTTACCTGACACTCAACGCGTTACCAGCAACACCACTCCTCCTTCGGAGTCGTGGTGTTGCTGCGTAACGCGTTTCGTGACAGGTAAAAGTATTATCCGGTAATCCTGAAACCTCTTGTGGTATTACATTCGATAATATCTCAGCAAAACAATAGAAAAAATGAATGGGGTCTTGTCAGAGACAGAGTTATACTTGAGGAATAATAAATTGAAATTGAATGTATCAAAGACAAAGGCGATGATTTTTTAAATCTAAGTATAGATATCAGAAAAGTGTAGACACTAATCCTTAATTAATGATGGATAATGAGAGTATTGAATTTGTAACATGTATTAAATATTTGGGAATGCAACTTGATAATTTACTTAGCTTTCAATCCCAATGTGATTACATTAAGAAAAAAAAATGTACTTTTTTAGTAGAATATCAGCAAGTTTGTTCTATCAGTCTAATTTTGACTTTTGTGCCTCATTGCCAGTGCCGTAACTAGGGCGTGGCGAAAGTGGCATTTGCCACGGGCGCAATCTGTCAGTAATCGTACAAGCTTAAAGCGCCTTTTGCGCAACACATAAACTTTAAAGAGGGCTTTCCGCATTTTATACTTTATACAGATAGATATTGATATGGAACTAGAACAACCCAGAAGAAGAAAGAAGCCAAATATGCCTGGTGAAGCTCATCTTTTCGATTCCAAAACACATTTGGAAATTGAACTCTTCCATTCCATTCATAAAATTATTATTATAACACAGATTGGGAAAACATTTGTGACTCTTAATACTGTGACAGTGAGGAAACGACTCTAGAATGTTAAAAAAAAAGCTACACACTTAATAAATAAAAATCGAGAAGATATGAATGTGTTTGCGTTTGAGTTTACTGCAGAAATAGAAATAAAATTTTAAAAATACGAAGGCGAACCACTGCTGGAACTCAGCGTTCCTTTAGTAAGTTTAAGCTTGTACAGACTGGACCAACCTACTAGACACATAGGTAATAAAAAGAGGAATTAGCTTGTAAACCCGGTCTCATGCAGCGAATCGAGGTGGTGCTGCCTAAGCTGAGTATTGTCAAGCTGTCAAAGCCAAGTTCAGCCGAGCTGCACGAATTTTAATAACATGCAGCTTACCATGCAGTAGCGTGGCTATCAGTAAACTGGTCTCATCGAAGCGTAATATGTCTAGTAGCTTGGTCCTGTCTATATACTGGATGTCATATTCTAGTTCCACTTAAGGACAGGAAAAATTAACAAATGTAGCAATACCTCCAATCGAAAAATCGATTTCAATTACCTACTTTCAATAATTACGACGAAATTATCGACGTATTTGCATAAGTAGTTTTATATCTAGAAAAAAAATAATTTAGGATCCTGCGTGTTTCACGTTTTTTAGTAGTTTTACCACACTACTTGTTCCTATTTTTTTTGTTCCTTCACCTGTTTTTTGCTAGGTATAACATAATAAACTCTGTCTAACCAAAGTTGAACGTTGAAGGTCACTTACTCATCCTTCAAGGAGCATGGTCATCCCAGACACGGTGTATTCCCTTATTCGATCTTCCTAAAGACGATATAACCAAAGAATACCACTTTGAGAGAAATTTCCTCACAAGGATAATAAAAGCGACTGGGAAAGCGGCAAGATCACCGAATCTCTCAAAGAAAACACCATTAAATGGTACACAGACGGTTCGAAAACCGACAAAGGACCAGGAGCTGGAGTATTTGGGCCTCGCACCAAATATTTTGAGTCACTTGGTAAATACACCAGTGTTTTTCAGGCGGAAATACACGCCATTGACACATGTGCTCAAATGATCCTGAACAGGAACTATCTCAAGCAAGATATTGCAATATTCACCGACAGTCAATCGGCCATAATGGCACTGAGTTCATATGTCATCAGTTCTAAGATAGTACGGGATTGCCTAGGGTAACTAAATGAGGTAGGAAAGAAAAATAAAGTCACTTTATTATGGGTGCCTGGACACACAGGAGTAGAGGGTAACGAAGAAGCCAATACCTTGGCAAAGAAAGAATCCGGTTCTCCGTTTGTAGGACCAGAGCCTTTTGCGGTATAGGTAAAAACACTTATACAGGGGAGCTTAAGAAAATGGAAGACGACCTAAGAGCCCGCCTCTGGGACGACCTTCCGGGAATGAGACACTCTAAGATATTCCTTGGAAACTTCAATCCCAAAAAATCTAAAGCTCTACAAAATTTAAGTGAAACTAAACTAAGAGTTCTTCAGGGTTTATGACAGGGCACTGCCACCTTCGAGAACACCGCAGGAAAATGCTACTCAAGAGATCCAATGAATGCAGGTTTTGCGGGGAGGAGGAAGAAACTCCAGAACACCTACTAACTGTATGCGCAGCCGTCGCTAGAAGCCGGGCTACACATCTCGGGGACTATGTAGTTTTAGAAGGAGACATACCATCCTTGACACTGTACCAGTTACTAGCCCTCATCAAGGCCATAGGACTGGACGAAGTACTATGATTTGGGATCCACATCATGGTCTGATAAACACAGTGCGCGTGCAATAAAGACAGCAGCAAAAAGCAACGTCTGTGATATATTTGAGTAAGTGACCTTCAACGTTCAACTTTAGTTAGACAGAGTTTACCTATGTTATGTTATTGAGTGATACTTTACATTTTGAGTTTTTGATGCTAATATTTTACTAATGTCAAATGAAACAGGAATTCTTATATCAGTTACTTTTCTTGTTTAAATATAAAATTTCAAAAATCGGCACTTGTGAGACATTGGATATGGGGTGACGCCGCAAATTGATAACCTGCCACAGGCGCAAACAGGTCTAGTTACGGCTCTGCTCATTGCTGTACATGTTTAATTTAAACCAATCTTATAGGATTCAGAAGCTCCGGAATCGTGACATGAGGGTTATATTAAAAGCGCAGCGTCTCACGCCAGTATCTTCTATGCTAAGATCGTTAAATTGGCTCTCCGTTAAGAATATATTATAATATGCACTTTTATGATATTTGTATACAAAATTGTGAATAAGTTAGCACCACCTTATTTTGAACAGTTTGTTGTTTTTAATAGGGATATCCATGATTACTTTACAAGGAATAATGATCATCTCTTTATTCCAAAAACGAATTTTAAGATTACAATGAACTCATTGTTTTTTTGGGACTTTCAGGAATTTAACAGTCTTCCAAATGATATCAAGGGCCTTCCCTCAGTTCAGGGTTTCAGTCGTTTCAGAGATAGGCTGAGGGATTAATTACATTCAGGCTAAAGATTGATTAATCTACCGCATTTACCATCTTGATGTGATTGGGTGAACCAGAGTAATGTGCTGCTATCTTCGTAAGGTTTTTACTTGTATTTAGTAGATAGTTACTTGTATGTCTAATGGGCATTTTTTCTTATATTGTATTTTTTGTATATATTAGGTGTACAACCTATTTAATAAAGATATATTTTTACTTTCATTTCTTATACATACCTTTCCCTCATAAACTTTGTAAGCCACTCCTTCCTGGCTTCAACGTGCTTTTTACTGAAAGCTAGTTCAATATGATCATCGTCCTGTTGTCCATTGTAGCGGAAAATAATTCGATGGCGATCCATGTTGGAAAAATATTCTTTAGCCTCCTTTGAAGTGGAGGTACCCAAACCTAAATTAGAGCACACATTTGTTATCAATATCATTATTTTATCAAATGCGTACTAATTAAAATGTATGGCACTTTGCTACAACAAGAAATTTATGGAGACATCTTTCACACAAACTGAGGATTTTTTGTTCGGAAAAAAATATTGAAAATTGGACTGTTGATAGGTTGCAAGTGTATATATTTTCCAAAAATAAGCTTTATACAACCAGTCAACCCCATGATAAGTGCATTGAAGAACTTCTTGATTGAACATAAGATAAAACATCTACTAATTAAAAAAAAAAACTTACCTTTGTAGTATTTTATTCCATATGTATGATGATTGGGAGTATCTTTTTTCCATTCTTCAAATTCTGGCAGCGAATAAAAAGACAATTCTTGATTCTTCTTTTTGGCTTTTACAATAGGTGTGATGAATTCTTCCAGAAAATCTAAGCGCAACAGTTCTGGCCAATTGTAATGTATAAAATTAATCAGCAATCCCTTAATGTGAGACCCGTCTTGATCTTGATCAGTCATTATCATGACTTTGCCATATCTCAACATTTTCATATCTTCTCTAGTGTTGTACTTTTTTTTGTATTGCAGACCGATAATTTTCACCAAGTTATTGATTTCAGCATTTTCCAATATTTGTTTATGTGTCGCCTCTCTAACATTAAGCAATTTACCCTTTAAAGGAAATACTCCATAATGATCTCTGCCAATAACGCTCAGTCCTGAAACAGCCAAAGATTTGGCCGAATCTCCTTCTGTTAGAATTAGGGTACATTTAAGAGCATTTTTTGTTCCAGCATCGTTGGCATCTTCTAGTTTGGGTACCCCTTTAAGTTTGCTAGTTTTTTTGCCGGCACTAGCTTTAACCAACTCATTTTGCTGTTTAAATTTAGCCCAAGACAACACAGTTTCTACTATGCCACTCTTTTGAACTTGATTTATAAATTTTTCTGACAAGTTACATTTTGATCCAAAGCTTTTCATTTGCAATGTCATATTTTCTTTAGTTTGTGAATCAAAGGTTGGATTTACTATGAGGCAATTTACAAAAACCCACATATGATTCTTAACTTGGAATGGTTTTACACTTGTGCCGCCTTTATTTTTCTTTTTTATTGTATCCAAAAGTTGCTTAACTATCAAATCTGTAACATAGTCCACATGCCTACCCCCTTTAGTGGTAGCAATGCTATTGACAAACGACATTTGTTGAAAACCGCGGTCAGACAACGTAACAGCCACTTCCCACCGTTCGTTTGGCGATTCGTAAACAACTTTTAAATTATTGCCCATTTCATCTTCTTTGCCTTTAATGAACAAATCCACATAGTCTTTGAAGGTTTTCACTGGCAATCTTTCGCCGTTTAAAAATACTTTTACACCTCTAGTAGAAGCAGCAATATCGTAGGCTCTTCTCGACATTAAGCCCACAATGTCATCATCTAATTTTTCCATTTTGAATTTTTTCAAATCAGGATGAAACGTGATTTTTGTGTAATCTTCACCTCCAAAGGCTTTTATTTTAGGTTCAGAAGCTTTGCTCATATTGCTGCCCCAGATTTGCTTAAATTCCTTTTTATATTGCTTACAGGCAGTCTCCACAATAAACTTATCACTGAAAATGTTACAGAGTTTGGCACCATAACCATTTCTGCCCCCAGTAACTTTTTCTTCTTCATCATTATAGTTGGACGATGTAAGTAAATGTCCAAAAATCATTGTTGGCACAAACATGTTTTCATCTTTATGCATAGCTACAGGTATACCTTGACCGTTGTTCCAAACCGAAATGCGATTTTCTTCAGGCTTAATTTCGATTTTGATGCAATCCATTTTTTTGTCTCGCTGCTTATTATCTGCAGCGTTTACTAGAATTTCGTCAAAGATTTTGTATAAGCCAGGTACATACTCTATCTGTTTTTGTATCATCATTTGTTTTTCACCGTCGTAGATCCACATTGTGTCGGAAACCTCAAAAAAAAAAAAAGAAATTTTGAGTTTTTAAATATAGGTAAGTATGCATGCAAGGAAATAATTTCAGCTAAAGTGACTGACAACACATATTCATAGCATAGGAGACTTTTGATACCTTTTGAAATGTGAAGAGGGTGCCCACACGAACTGAGAGGTATGATCAACAGATCCAAATTTTCATTGATTGGTTTGCTTGCCATGGAAAACGTGATATATGCATGAAACAGAAGCAAATGCTTTTGCTTAAGTTTACTGAGATAAACATATTCAACTTTGATGCAGGAAAAAAAGACGGAGGTGAATGCAGTAAAAGCATTAGCTTCATTTTATTCATATGAATTAATTTTATCAGTATAAGGTATTTTTGGGGTTCTTGGATCAGGAATAATTATCCAAGAACCCCAAAAATACCTTATACTGATAAAATTAAAAAGGATCAAAAACAGAGTCGTTTTAAAAATATGACTTAATGTATTTACACATTACACAGTGGCACGATTGGATGAAAAGGTGAGGAAAACCCAAGGAAACCCACGATGAGTAAGTATTTCAACCAAAGCTTTGGGAACCTTCATCTAAAATGTGGGGATGCAGTGGTTTCTTTTGCAGCAATGATCAAAAATCAGGATGAAACTGTGGCAGTAGATACATTGATGCCATTCCATTGTATATGTTAAAAATGGTATGGGAGTGAACTTCACGCATATTTTCAATATGAACTCTTTGAAGTCCCGTCGTCTTTTTTTTTTCATTCATCTTTCAAGCCTATACCAAATAATGATGCAGAACACAGAACTCTTAAACAGCAAAATACAAGCTGAAGAAAATGCCGGTAGTAGCCACAGTAAACTTGTTCGCTTTTCAACTTAATTTCTGGTGAGAAGATCGACCTTCTGTTGCTCCTCCAGCTCTCCCCACACAACGTATATTACCAAAAAGTTGGTAAAGGTATATCAATCACCTAACTCGTATTCCATCACATTGAAATAGTTGAAAACATTTTATCAATTTTGTAATACGCTTCTCAAGCACTTCACAATAAATTATTAGTTTCGACACTTTCCTCATAAAATCGGTGGATTTTAGATAGCTGATTGAAAAATCTTCTGGCCAAGCAGGAGCCAACATTGTCTGACTATAAAATCGAGATGTTAGTTCAAGGTTGTCACCGCTTTAATTATGCAAATAAGGCAATCGGAATATAAAATCGATATGTTTATGTTAGTTCAAGGTTGTTACCGCTTTTGCATACATTGAGTGCCGACTCATAGATAGGCAATTACTTATACATAATAGAAGTCGGGTAAGTGTTTGGAAGAAGTCCGGAGAGGTCAGGAAAGGGCTGGATAAGGTCGGGAGAAATCTAGACAAGTCTGGATAAAGTCTGGATAAGGCTGGAAAAAGTTTAGCTAAGTCTGGAAAAGTTTGGATAAGTTTGGATAAAGTCTGGAAAAGCCAGAAAATTTCTGGAAACGTCTGGAAAAGGCTCTATTAGGTCTGGAGAAATCTAGACAAGTCTGGATAAAGTCTGGAAAAATCTACCCAAGTCTGGATAAAGTCTGGAAAAGCCTGGAAATTTCTGGAAACGTCGGAAAAAGGCTGGATAAGGTCTGGAGAAATTCAGACAAGTCTGGATAAGTTCTGGAAAAGTGTATTTGAAGTCGGGAAAGTGTTTGGGAGAAGTCCGGAGAGGTCAAAGGGCTGGATAAGGTCTGGAGAAATCTAGATAAGTCTGGATAAAGTCTGGATAAAGTCTTGCTAAGTCTGGAAAAGTCTGGATAAGTTTGGATAAAGTCTGGGAAAGAGCCAGAAAATTTCTAGAAACGTCTGGAAAAGGCTCTATTAGGTCTGAAGAAATCTAGACAAGTCTGGATAAAGTCTGGAAAAATCTAGCTAAGCCTAGAAAAATCTGGATACAGTCTGGAAAAGCCTGGAAATTTCTGGAAACGTCTGGAAAAGGCTTAATAAGGTCTAGAGACATTCAGACAAGTTTGGATAAAGTCTGGAAAAGAGCCAGAAAATTTCTGGAAACGTCTGGAAAAGGCTCTATTAGGTCTGGAGAAATCTAGACAAGTCTGGATAAAGTCTGGAAAAATCTAGCAAAGTCTAGAAAAGTCTGGATAAAGTCTGGAAAAGCCTGGAAATTTCTGGTATCGTCTGGAAAAGGCTTGATAAGGTCTGGAGAAATTCAGACAAGTCTGGATAAAGTCTGGAAAAGTGTATTTGAAGTCGGGAAAGTGTTTGGGAGAAGTCCGGAGAGGTCAGAAAAGGGCTGGATAAGGTCTGGAGAAATCTAGACAAGTCTGGATAAAGTCTAGCTAAATCTGGAAAAGTCTGGATAAGTTTGGATACAGTCTGGAAAAGCCAGAAAATTTCTGGAAACGTCTGGAAAAGGCTCTATTAGGTCTGGAGAAATCTAGACAAGTCTGGATAAAGTCTGGAAAAATCCAGCCAAGTCTAGAAAAGTCTGGATAAAGTCTGGGAAAGTCTGGAAATGTCTGGAAACCTCTGGAAAAGGCTTGATAAGGTCTGGAGAAATTTTGACAAGTCTGCACAAAGTCTAGCTAAGTCTGGAAAAATCTGGATAAAGTCTGGAAATTTCTGGAAACGTCTGGAAAACGCATGGAAATTTCTGGATTGGGTCGGAAAAATTCTGGAAAATCTGGAAAGGGTTGAATTTTAGCGGATCTCAAAGCTCACAATAATCACAAGCATTAGCGTTGAAGTTTGCTTCGGCATTTTCAATGTTCTCCTCGGTTGCATCTTTGTGAAGGACTGTGAATTTGTTACTTATGTGACAATTCTCTGACAATATGCCTATTAGCTGTGCTATTAGATATTGCTCTGTAGATGGTTGTTTTTCAAAGCAAGGAAGTGGTTTAATATTTTTTCTAGGTCCAATAGAAGAATCTAGGTATGTATAGGGTTTTCCAATAGTAACGCTCGATGTTTGACAATAGCCCATGAAAAACTCGATAGTCACACAGGTGCTATCTTTGGCAGCCGTATTCAATTAGTCTCTGCATTTTATTATGGAGCGCTACACGATTGAGCAACGCGTCGGAATTGTTAAAAATTATTATCATTATCAAAACCAATGTTCTATTCGGAAAACGTTTCGTGCACTCCGTGCAATTTATGATGTCAACGATCGTCCTTCAGAATCCACAATTGGCCGACCTAACGTCACTGGATTTTTTTCTCTGGGCATTCTAAAATCCAAAGTCTATGTTGACAAATCTCGAACGGTTGCCGCCTTAAAGGCCAATATTAAGCACTTATTGCTGAAATTGAGCCATTTTTATGCGATAACGAACACTAAATGATTCTAACGACAATCTAAAATTGTCGGAGAAATGTATTGATAATTCGGATATTGTTGAAAACATCTATGAGAAGTAAAGTCCGTCGATTTTAATCTAATACTCGAAAGGAATGTGAGCTGGTGGCACCCTACATTTGAACGCCAATGGTCACCTAAGGTCACCCCTGGTTTTCGCTTCACCCCCTCGCTCCTCATACGAAAAGTCGACGAACAATACTAAAAGAAGGAAGATTCAGGGACTTGACCAAATCTGCAATACTTTCTGCAAGAAATGTTGATGTCGAAGAAATAAACGAATAAGTTGTCGAACTGTTGGACGTCAAGACCGAAAAACTCTACACCAGTATAGATAGTGTCAAGAACTGTGATAATAGTGATCTAAATGATGCTATTCTTCCAAAATATTTAAATTCGCTTAATCCGCCGAATTCCCGCTCCATGATTTACGATTGAAAACGAATTCTATTGTATGCTTATTAGAAATCTAAGCATCAGTGCAGGCCTTTGCAATGGCACAAGGCCTTTAGTTCTGGAACTTGGGGATAATCTGTTACGCTGTGAGATATTGACTGTAGATAAACAGGGAGAAATAGTGTTCATAAATCGAATAACACTCTACTGCGAAAACGTCTACCCCTTTACGTTCAAACAAAGACAATTTTAAAATAAAATTAGCCTTTGCAATGAGTTACGATTAACAAATCTCAAGGACAAACATTTGATAGGATAGTAATTGATCTCCAGAAAGGATGTATTAGTCACGGACAACTTTATGTGGCGCTTTTCAGAGTTCGTTCGTGGGACTCATTCAAACTTTATTCAGGGAAACAAAGAGGCAATAGTGTTGTCAAAAACCATGTTTTTAAAGAATTGTTTTTTTGATAATTTAATTTTGAAATTTCGCAGTCATAGGTGATTTCAGAAGATCTTTACAACTTATTTACAAGATATTTGAAGATCACAAGACAAAAACCTGAACAGGATAAACATAAATGATTGAAAATAACGAAGAACGACATGAAGACTTAGCACTCTTTAAACTTTGGATTCTTACGAGTTCCATAAAATAGAATAAGTTCCACTGGACATATGCACACCGTATATTCAAAAAATAAGATTGATTTAAAGTCATTACGATGTACCGCAAAAGTAATAATTCACCAACTACTTTGATCACATTTAAAATTTATGTCTACCACGTAGGTACAAACAAAAAATGTAAGTTGAATAATTGAGCAATTGAATTTAAAATCTTTTAAAAAATTTTTTTTTTCGATTGTTTGCAGTAAAATGTTGATCGAGTAGACTTCAATAACTGGCCTAATAAAAAAAAAGGAACTTCATGAAAATGTAAAAAAAAAATTAAGACTCGATATCTCGTATTATACCACAGCACATAAATAGTTACTAACTCGGTTTATAATAACACCTTGATTATGGTTATGATTATTCTGTTTTAAATAAACCACTTCGAATAATGTATACCTACACCTACGAGTTCCATAAAACAGAATGAGATAAGTAGACATACGCACACCGTACATTCAAGAAATGTGATCGATTTAAAATCATTATGATATACCATACAAAAATAATTAGTCACCAACTCCATCCATCGCATTTGAAATTTCTTCACTAGAATAACATCTATACAACTTATCTCACTGTTACATTTAATGTATAATGTACATTTAAATCAAAAATTATGCTGTTTTTTGTACAACACCTACCTAATAAATATTTTCCATTTTATAATTATTTTGATGGACTTGATTTAAAAAAAAAGCGCGCGAAGCGCGCTCATGACCTAGTAAATATATAAAGCAAATTACACAAAAACTTTCGCGTGTACACAAATCGCCATGTTCACTTTCTTGAAGGCGATTGACAAAGTTACTCATCTCATGAAATATTTTTTTTTTTTTTTTTATTAAATAACAAATTACAATTTTTGTTTTTTTCATATAATCTAAGGCACAAGTTAAGCTATGTACTTTGTTATTCGCTCCTAAACAGCTAAACGCTGGTAACGGAGCAAGATATAATTTGATTCAGACTACACAATATTCAGACTAATAAAACCTTAAAATTACCAAAGTTATACAGTAAAAAAACACTTATGTAAATAAAAACATTCGCAACAATCACATTTATTTGTACATTTATTTTGGCACCAAACTAATCTAATTTAGAATTTTTTTTTAATTTTTTTTTTTTTTTTTTTTTTTTTTTTTTATTATTATCATTTTCATTTATTTATTTATTTTTTTCAATTTATTCATCATTACTATTATTTATTTTTTTCAGAAATACATTTTTGTGTTCAAAAACTCCTTGAGTCTGTTCAGAAATATTTCAAATGTTGAAGCTTCTCTGACATGAATCGGTACCTGGTTATACATAAGTACTGCTCTGGTCAATGGATTATAAAGTGCTTTATTTGTTCTTATGCTACTGACATGTAAATTACGATTTCCTCTTGTTTTGTACTCATACAGTTCACTGTTTGTTTTTAGACTAGAATTACTTTTGAGATTGCAAAATAAAATCTTATAAATGTGTTTGCATTGTTCTAACTCTAACACATATCTTATTGGCTGTAACGAAAGATGTGGGTACAATAACTCTGAGGAGGTACGATAAGGCATTTGAAACAGGACCTTAACCGCTCTATTTTGTAGTACCTGTACTCTGTTGAAAGAAGTCACACCACATGTACCCCAAACATTTATAAGGTATCTCAAGTTTGACAGAATGTATGCATAGTAAATTGAGCAGCGATTTCTGGTATTTAAATATTTTGTACATCTATACAATGCTCCCAACATGGGGATGATTTTTTTAACCAAACTGTCAATATGATTTCCCCAATTAAGTTTATCATCAACTATAAGACCTAGATATTTGGTTGAGTGAACTTGAGATATCTGCATATTATTGATATTTATTTCAAATTTATAATGTTCTGTATTTTTTTGTTGGAATACTAAATATATAGTTTTTTCTGCATTAAGTTTTAGTTTGTTATGCAATAACCATTCAGAATATCTACACAAGTCAACATTTACAGTTTGTTCAAGTGTTTGCATGTTGGATCCACTATAAAAAAATACAGTGTCATCCGCAAACGTGAAATACCGTCCTGTCAGGCCAGCCTGCCTCAGTGACAACACGTGAATTAAATACAATATCGGCCCTAAAACTGAACCCTGTGGTACTCCACAATTGTTTAAAATTCTATTACTTTCTATTCCCTCCACTGTAACAAACTGAGGTCGATCCTTCAAGAAGGACGCAATAAGGGAATACATCACCCCTCGAACACCCATGGTCCATAATTTATTCAGTAGAACCGAGTGGTCCACTACATCAAAAGCTTTTTTAAGATCAATAAATACAGCAATAACACATTTTTTTTCATCCAAAGCTAAAGCTACACAGTTTACAAAATCTGTTACAGCACAAAGAGTATTACTTTCCTTCAAAAACCCATACTGATACCTATCAAAACCGATATATTTGTTTATAAATTGAATTAATCTAGTTTTCAGCAAAGACTCGATAATCTTGGAAAAAGCACACACAACTGTAATTGGTCTATAATTTTGTTTATTGGTTATATCGCCTGCTTTATGTAATGGAGTTATTTTTCCTAATTTTAATATTTCTGGAAATATACCTGTTGCAAGTACATTGTTAATGAGATTTGTCAAAATTGGCAGTAGTGGTTCAATAATTATGATAAGATCTTTCACGTTTATATTATCAAAACCTGCAGCTGAATTTTTATTTAGATTACTCAAAACTTCATAAATTTCCCTTTCATTTGTTTCCCTTAAATAAAAAGTCCTATCACATTCAAGCTCCCCTAAATCTACTCTAGTCTCCATTTGTGACCATTCCCTATTTACTGACTGTACAATTGATTCACCCACGCTTGCAAAGTATTTATTGAACTCATTTGCAATTCTCGCTGGATCAGATTGCAGCAAACCATTTATTTCCAGAGAGCCTACAGCACCTTTTTTTTTGTTTTTATTTATTAGAGAATTTATGACTTTCCACTGTTTTTTGGGGTTGCTCCCTGCATTGGACCACTGATCTGCAAAAAAGGATGTTTTTTGTTTACGTATTTCACAGTTAATCTTGTTTTTCAAAGTTTTGAATTCATCTTCGGTAGTTTTAGTAGGTTCATTATTAATTTTTAGTTGTTTTAATGCTTTATATTTATTATCTCGTTCCTTGATTAACTGTAAAATATCATAGGTCATCCAGTTATTACCTTCACGATGTTTTAGGGTACATTGGTATGAAGCTTCTTTTTTACATTTCTGAATTAACGCAGTTAGCTCTTGGAATGAGTGGATATCCTTATTATTTACATTTACAGCATCAAAGTTTTGTTTAAATTTATCTTTATTTAGTATACTAAAAGTTTTAGTTATTTTTGGTTTGTATACATCTAACTCTAATTCTATTCCTATAATTAAAGGATTATGATCAGACAATGCACAGTCAATCACAGAAACATCACATAAAATTTTTTTATTTACAATAACATGGTCTATTATAGACATTTGGAAAATACCATTTCTTGTAGCATTCTCGCAATTAATAATGTTGCTAACCCTATATCCGTTAGTAATTATAGCATTTAAGTATTCATTTTTTTCTTCTAAATCACCTAGCAGATTTACATTCATATCTCCTACCACAACTGTGCTTTGTTTGTATTTTGATAAAATATTTTGAAAAACCTCAATAAATTCATTAAACACATACCTTGGCGGTCTATATATTCCTATTAAGTCCAATTTGGCACTTGTTATGTGTATCGATAGTAAATTGAACGGAGATGTTCCCTCCACTGTCTCAATCAATCTGTAGTCAATGTTTTTTTTTGTATATATGGACACTCCTCCAGCTCGTCCTTCCCTGCATGCATGGTTGGCATTAAATCCTTCCAGATCAAAGAAGCATGTTTCGTCCCTTGACAACCATGTTTCGGTTAAAATGAGGACATCACAGTCATGTATTTTTAAAAAACAACCAAGTTCGTCGATCTTGTTTCTCATGCTCTGCATATTCAGGTAAGTTATACGGAGCATAGGCCCCTTAGTCAAGGAAGATGTTTTTAGTTTTTTAAAACCTCAAAATCATCAACAAGGATAGCTCTGCTGTTTTCATCCTTCCTAAGGTAGGTTTTTCCGTCCCTTAGCCATACAAACTTATAGTCATTGTCTTTTTTGAATTTTCTTGCCTCCCTATATAGGTCTTGGTTTTTCTTGGTAAGATCGTGGTCAATGTATATATTGTTGTTAACATTTGTATAGCCGAGATCTGTTGTTGTGAGTTTCTTTCTTTTTTGCGCTTTAATAAAGCTTATTTTGTCATTTTCATTATCAAAACAAACTTTTAACGGTGCGGGTCTTTCTCGGTCTGATCCCCTTCCAAGCCTGAAGGACTTAAAAGTTCCTACAGGAACTTCTAATAAATTGCTCATTTTTTTGACTATTTCTCCATCATCGCTTGATTGTGATGTTGGAATTCCCTTCACAATTACATTGCTTTTAATTTCACGTTGTTCCCTTTTGTTAATTTCATTATTTAATTGGTTTTTTAGGTCAGCAACCTCGAGCTTCAGGTCATTGTTTACTTCAACTTGTTTTTCGTATTTCAACCATAAAATGTTGTATTTTTTATCCATATCTAAAAGCTTTTTCATCACGTCGTTAATCGACCAGTCTCTATCTCCGATTTCCTCGGGAAAATCACCATCATCCAGCTTTTTCCTTTTATTTTGGTTTCGATTTTCAGTTGACATAACCTCAATGTTCAGACAGGATTCACAAACCCATCTTTCACCGTTTTGTTGTTTTAGTTCTTTGTTGTAATGATTTAATTGATGATTAGACAATTTTACACATTTAGAATGGTACCATTTGACACATTTTGTACACGAAATTGACCCAGAACCACATTTAACACTGCAGACACCACAAATTACGTCTAAATCGTTAGCCATCTTGTTTAGCCATATTGCTACATAAACTTGAAGTAGAGGCCCCTCTTCTTTTGTGGTTTTTGAGCTATCTGTGTGGAATTGCAAACTATCGTTCCTATGAGACAAAAACCCAAGTAAAAACCTTTTCTGAAGTTTCACAGGGGTCACGTCACGATCTTAATAACTTGGTCAATTCGTGTTCTTGCTTTAATTATGTTGGAGATGTTTCCAGAGTCACGTGGTGAATTTGAAGTTATGTTTTTGATGAAGGGATGACCATGAACGTCTTGATTGCAATTTTCTATTGTGACTGTAGGTAAGTACTGTACACTGTACAGTCAGTTCTCTAGAATAATCAATAACAATTTTTGCTGAAGTTGCTTTTTGTGTTCTTTTAAATAAATTTTTCATAGTTCAATGTCACTCATTTCTTTTGAATTACCAACAGATTGTGATGCTTATTTGTTCTAAATTCAATAGTTGCTATAAATTTGGAATTATTATTTTTATTGTCAAATGATTAAACGATTCATATCTATTTTTAGTGTTATTGGGATTTTGCCTGTTGAATTTATAAATAACTAAGTTAAATACATAGCTCCTCACCTTTTCCACTGATCCGATATAAGTATCAGGTCTAAGTAAAATATGTTCCAACTGTGACTTTTTCTGATAAGTCTCTTCAATGGTTGTCGGTTTCTTGCCTTTGAGCTTTGGTGCTGATGACTCTCCAGCCGTCCCATCGTCTCCTCCTCCTCCATTGGACATGTTTGCAAACATAGACTGAAATAAAAATAAATAAAAATAAAATTATAGGTTATTTCTTTTTATTTGAAGGGCAAGACCAAGACCAAGACCAAGACCTGATAAATCTTCTCAAGACCAAGACCAAGACTTGACGTTCAATACCAATACCAAGACCAAGACCAAGACTCTCTCTCGAGACTCTCGTCTTGGTCTTGGTCTTAGAAAGAAAAATCGATTCATTATTTATAAAAATATTCAAATTCCTATGTCTATCTACTTTTGATTTCCTTTAATTAAATTAATCCATCAAATTTATTATTTTTTCAAATTCACGAGAAGGTGAAGGTTCAAATAGAAATTTATTTTTTTCCTCGGAACAGAATGGCAATTTTATGGTGTGTTTGTCAACTTTCTTGTTCCGTCAATCTAATTTAAAAATTGATGTTTGTTTATTTCTCTGCGTTGTGGAATGCTTTATGCCGTATTTTTTTGACACGAAACGCTCTTGCTGGTAAAAATAGCCTGTGACGATACAAGACCAAATGCATGGTGGAAACGTCGGCATAATTTTTTCCGAAAGGGAGTTTTATTTTTCATTTCTGAAGTCCTAAACCCATTATCTCTGTCGTTATTTTATGTATATATTAAAAGTTTGGTAATTTTTTTTTTCAAGACTATCAAGACCAAGACCAAGACTATCAAGACCAAGACCAAGATCAAGACTGAGCCAGTCTTGTCTTGGTCTTGAAACACCAAGACCGCATTTATTTTTGGAGACCAAGACCAAGACTGGTCAGTCTTGGTCTTGGTCTTGGTCTTGCGAAGCCCTAACCTGATCTCACACTAACAAGCTTCTGATCAAGTGACATAAAGCCAAGTAGACTAGAGATTGAAAACAGTGACGTGAGGCAAACAGGCCACTTTGCCTGTTGTTTTATAGGGGCCTCAAGAGATAGTAATAATTAGGTATTGCCCAATTTGTCAGCTTTTGTGTTCTCCCACTAGTACAACTCATTTTTTATATTTTTAGTAAAGGGTCGCAAGAGAAATCATAACAATTTGAGTTTTGCAGGAGCAGGAATATATGAAAGCCAAGATGAAAGCATATAAATCAACATCCATAGAAATTGAATCCTGAGTTGAATAATTAAACTTAAAAATAAAAATAAAAATAAAAAACTAAATCAGAATTATTTCGTTCAAGAACAAGGCAGTCAGTGGAAATTTTGACAGGCATCGAGGCATCTCATTATAGCACTCAAAGGTTTGTTTTGGTTCGTGTAGAGAATCGTTTTGGGACAGTTCGCATATCTGGAATCGTTCTGACGGTCCGAACCCGTTAGTAGGGATTTTTTGAGAATTAAACAGTTCGCACATGCGTAGTTGAAATTAACCTTATTTTTAGGACTTGTTTTTGTTTTGGTTATTTATTTTGCGATGAAGAGTATATTTTTGTGATTTTTGTGTATTTTCATGTTCAAAAACTTTGTTCCGATTGCGGAGAATTGTGGATATTAACCAGATCAAGCCACTTATACTAGTAAGATCATTTTTTTAATCCAAGTTTTCAGTTTACTTAAGAATTACTAATCAAATTATTTGTTATTTCATAGGACCTTCTCAGTTCAAGCAGTGATGACGAGATATCAGAAAGTGATGAAGAATTTCTCGCAATTCTAATACCAGAAGTTCTTGAGCACCACAAAAAAAATGAGAATTATGCAGAAGATATTATATTATGCCCTTATACACAGATAAAGAGTTTCTGGATCATTTTAAGGTGTCGCGAAACATTATTGAACAGCTGGCCTCTGAATTTGAACAATCGGATTATTATCCCAAAAAGGAAACAGGATTTTCTAGAGTATGTCCCAAGAAATGCCTTTGTGTGTTTGTATGGTACGCGACACATGAAGCTGCCTCCTTCCGAGACGTTGGGGACAGATTCAATATTGCAATAAGTACCCTGCACCTAATTATCCACAATATTACCCACTTTTTGAGCTTTAAATCAGGCCAAGTGATAACATGGCCCAAAGAAGAGGAGAAACTTGAAATCGAGCAAGATTTTATGAGAATGGGCTTTCCAGGGGTTCTTGGTTGCATGGATGGTTCCCATGTTAGAATTGATCAACCCAAAAACGACCCTGAGAGTTACTTAAATCGAAAAAAAAACTATTCAATTCAAGTATGTATGTCAAAAAAAACATAAATAAATTAGTAAATAGGTATTTTTTTTGTGATATTTGCCATGTTAAAAAAACTGTTTTTAGTTCCAGGTGGTTTGTGATTCGAAAAAAAGGATGTGTTCATTGGGTTCCCAGGATCCGTACACGATGCTAGGGTTTTTAGCAACTCTCCTTTGTGTCATACCCTACAACAAAAATGTGGCGATAAAGTTATTCTAGCAGACAGTGCATATCCATGTCTGCGGAACCTGTTGACTCCGTACAAAGATAATGGCCACCTAAGTTTAACAGAAAAAAACTATAACTATAAACTAAGCCGTTGTCGGATTTTAATCGAACATGTATTTGGAATTTTAAAACAAAAATTCCGACAATTTTATCATCTAACGCTGAGAGATGAGACACTAATGTGTCACTTTATAAGAGCTTGCTGTGTTCTCTACAACTACACTTTAAATGAAGAAGTTGAAGATGCAGTTGAACTATTTGAAGAAAACCAGCCAGAGGAAGCAGTTGAATATCAGCAAGTTGAATTTAATGCAGCAGGGAACGCTTACCGAAATTATGTAGCAGCTCAACTGTTTCAGCAATAATTTTTGTTTCAGATAAAAATTTGAAATGAATAATAATTAATATTAGTTTAGGTATAGTAGTATAAGTATTAAATCAATAAGTATTTTTTCAGCAATAATTTTTGTTTCAGATAAAAAAATATATGAAATGAATAATAATTAATATTAGGTATAAGTAGTATAAGTATTAAATCAATAGGTATTTTTTCATTTTTTCAGCAATAATTTTTGTTAGATAGATTGAAATTTGAGTCCCATTTAACATACATGAGCAAAAAGGTGTCATCTGGATGTTATGCAGTCAGAGTAATTTTGAATAAGCTGTACATTGGAACAATAAGAAGTGCATACTTTGCACTCATCGAATTTTATTTGCGCTATTAGACCCTGAGATAGGGCCTGTTTAGTGGAGTCATTTTTTTTTGTCTGGCATTTTGAGGGATGAATGTGGCTAGTTAGCTGATGAGAATATAAGTGGTTTTAATGCCTGCCCCCTGTTCGAAATGTCCACAGAATGTTTCGCCGGAAAACTCGACTTCGAACTGTGATTACCGTCTGGCGATTTTTCAGCGTTATTTTCACAACAAAACCTTCCATTCTCTCGATTACCAGACAAAAAGTAAACGCGGAAGGTTCTTTTCTTTTCACTCATTTCCACTTTTTGAATTATTCATCAATGTGAATCTTTTATTTAGAAGCCAAAAAAGTTGTCATTAAAAAAAATTCTTCATGTAAATCAATTTTTTTCTTCTGCAAATTTTCGAACGGGAGGCAGGCATTAAAATCACCTATATTCTTATCAGCTTAGTAGCCACATTCAGCCCTCAAAATGCCAGATAAAAAAAAATGACTCCATTAAACAGCCCCTATCTCACAGTCTATATGGAATATGTTTCTGGGGTTTTTGTTCATTGTCTCTTTTTAATATGTTGTTTGTGTTACAAAAGAGGGCGGTGAGGTATATGTTCAGGATAGGATTGTGAGACTCATGTAGACCATTGTTTTTGCGTCATAAATTGTTTACATTTCCAAGTATTTTTTTACTAGAGAATTTATGTCTTGTTCATAAAAAGTTTAAGGCACACACAAATTTTCATCTGTATATACCACTCGACAAACACATAATGTTAACCTTTCCATCCCTTCTTCCACACAAATAAAAAACTCAATAATCTATCAACAGATTGTACCGGGTAAAAAAAGGATACATCTTAAGAGGCTTATATTATCAAAAGCCTACTACAGCATAGAGGAATTCTTTCAAGATGCTTTCTTCTGACTTTATTGAACATAGTTATGTAGTTTTATTTATTGACTTCTGTGTTTGCTGATGTTGTTAACTATTGGACTTTACATTTCGTCGGCATCATATGAAACTTGCCTAAGTCCAAAAAGATAAATTTTACTGGAGTCGCAAAAAACCGTTGTGAAGAAAAACTACATGATACAAATCACCGGCAAGAATGCACAAAAGAGATTCGACTTACGCAAGTTTGGCTCTGTCTTAAGATGACGACGGACTTGTGCAAATTTCTTTTCATGGTTGTGTGGTTCCATCTAACAATTTATCTCGCAAATATTTTGTTGGATCATAGATTATTGAGTTTCTCTCAAGAGCGCACAAATTTGACTTAGGCAATTTTCATATGATGCAGACGATTTGTGCAATTTTACTGTTTTATATTTTAAAATGATTATATTTTTGTATTCATGATTATTTTTAAGCAACTCCATCTTTTGTTTTGTTTTGATGGTTTTACTTAGGTGGCTTTTTCAACAAGATTTTTGTTCTTAGAGAATAAAGCATTTTTTGATTTGATTTGATATTTTACTGGAAATCTACAAGGGGGTCAAATAGCGCGTCAAATTATGAAGTGGGGTCTGTTCTTTAAAATCAATTTCATAATTTGTTGAAACAAAATTGTCATCGATTTTCTAAATTTTTTTTTTTTGTTTCATTCATTGTTTTACTGGTCTGAGAGCAAGCTTCCTAAAGTTAAGGCCGTATCAGACGTGCCGTTGCCGATTCCGTTAGCCGTTGCCGATTCCGATAGCCGTTGCCGTCGCGGTTGCAATCACACTTGACACCGTTCCGTTACCGATTAATGGTCGCTTGAAATGTTTATAACGTCAAAATGTCGGAGCTAAAATATTCAAAGTACAGCGCCGAACGTCGTAGGAAGTTTCTTCTGCGTTGATGTGCTATATGATTACATTGGAAGAAGAGGAAAGAGAAAGATCCAAACGAAAATAGGTTTGGGTGCAACACCGGAGA